GGATTGATTCAGTGACTGGGATAATTGGAATGGGAGTGTCAGAGACAGTGTGATTGACACAGGACAGAGCGGAGTTTAGGGCTGTTGTACATAGGGTTGCTGTGAGTCGCAAGCGACTCAACGGCACCTAACAACAACAACATGCTACATTATATGACAAGCTTCTGCCTTTATGAATGAGAAAACAGAACTGATTGCTTTGAAAGGGAGGATTTTAGAAAATTCATATATATCCATGATGACTTCTAACATTATATGACGGTGAAATTTATTTGACTATTATTCTGAACATTCTCTCCGTCTATAAATTTTCATGAATAAAATCTTAAATATATTTCCTATTTTACTGACCTTTTAAACAGAAAATAGAAAACATAATTTAAAATATGCTTGATGGCTGTGGTCATCATTAAAGTATCAATTATTTTACTCCTTCACTGGTTCCTCAGTCTTCTCTACTTTTAAGACTTTATTGACCTTTTTCTGTTTATCAGAAACCACTTAAGAATATGTTGACATTTGGCTCATGGAAAAAAAGATTATTTTATGTATTCAAATACAGTTTAAAGAACAGTAATGAATATGTTAACTGAAGTTTACAGTTGAGTCAGAACTGACTCCTGGCTAACCCATCCAGAGGGTTTTCAGATTCAAACTGCCAGAGAGGTGTTATCTTTGGGTTAACAGCACAACCCTGAGAGGGGTGAGGTAGAGAGAGAGAGAGGGTGTGTGTGTGTTAACACGTTGCCACACACTTTTTAAATTGATGACCGTGCTTAGAAACACATTTTGCCCTTATTTGTGGCAAAGTGTTAAATAGGCATTTACAGAGTAGTGTATGGATGTTGTTAGGTGCCATCGAGTCAAATATGAGTCATACTGACACTATGAACAACAGATCTGAGCCTTGCCCTATCCTGCACCATCCTTATGACCTCTGTTGGTGTTCAGTCCATTGTGAGAGTCATTTGCCCTAAAGAATCTATTTTGTTAAGGATCTTCTTCTCCGACTTCATCTTTCCCAGCTTGATGTCTCTCTCAGTGGGTTGGTTTCTCCTGAAAATAGACCTAAAATGAGAGTCTGTAAGGAGCACTCAGGTTGTATTTCAAGACAGATTTGGTTGTTCATTTGGAAGTCTATGCAAAACTCTTCTCCAAGACTACAATTCGAAGGCTTCTATTTCAGAAAAAAAAAAAAAAATTATGTTATTCTCTCAGGTTTTCCTACAAACAAGTTCAATAAATTCTAAGCAGTAGGAAAGGAGTGGTGATGCAGTGGCTGAAACATTTGGCTGCCATCTGAAAAGTCAGCAGTTCAAACTCAGCAACTACTATGTTAGAGGAATCCATAGCAGTCTGCTTCCAGGAGTAATTACAGCTGGAGAATCCCAGTGGGGAAATTCTCCTGTCGTGCAGGGCTGCTACAGGTTGAGAATCAACTTGACTGCATTGAATTGGTTTGGTTTCTAAGCAGTTGAACAAAAATCTATATTTCATTATAAATAAAAACCCAGTTCTTTGCCAGAAGCAGTTTTAATTCTTTAGAAATACTAGATTTAAAATGTGAAACATATTTTTCCCCTAAAGAATTGTGATTTTTACTTTTCATGTGATAAAGACTATATGTCTAAAAGTTTTTTCCTCTTTACTCATTGGAGTTTCTTTTCTATAAGTCACTAGTGTTTATTACTTGCATTCTTGATAAGAGTTTTGTTGTTGTGTACCATACAGTCAGAACTGACCCATACCTGACCCTCTGGTGGGTTTTCAGAAGCAGTACATTGCAAAGGAGATTGCTTATTTTCCTCCCATGAAACAGCTGATGGATTCAAACCACCTGCCTTTTGAGATAGTAGTGTAGCTTCTTACCACTAGGCCACCAGAGCCATCTTAACTTGCATTCTTGCTAGAGGAGTTGTTGTTGTTATGTGCCATCAAGTCGCTTGTGACTCATAGTGACCCTGTGTACAACAGCCCTAAACCCTGCTCTATCTTGTGCCAATCGCACTGCCTCTGACAACCCATCCCGATTTCCCCAGTCACTGAATCAATCCACCTAATAGAGTTATGTTGTTGTTGTTGTTATGTGCCATCGAGTCACTTGTGACTCATAGTGACCCTATGTACAACAGCCCTAAACTCTGCTCTATTCTGTGCCAATCGCACTGTCTCTGACACTCCCATCCCAATTACCCCAGTCCTGAATCAATCCACCTCACAGAGGGCCTTCCCCTCCTGTGCTGTCCTTCCACCCTCCCAAGCATCATGTCCTTCTCCAAGGACCGGTCTCTCCTCACAGCATGTCCAAAGTATGTTAGACGGAGCCTCAGAATCCTTGCCTCCAAGGAGCCACCCAGTTTAACCCTTTCCAGGACAAATCTGTTTGTTTTCCTAGCAGTCAGTGGTATTCTCAGTACTCTTCTCTAGCACCACAGCTCAAAGGCATCAATTCTTCTTCTATCCTCCTTGGTCATTGTCCAACTCTTTGTTGCATAACAAGTGATTGTGAAGACCATGGCCTGTATCAAACACACCTTAGTCTCCAGAGAGACACCATTGCTCTTCAGTACTTTGGAGAGGTCCCTAATAGCAGACTTTCCCATGGCAATGAGCCTTTTAATTTCCTGGCTACTCGTGCCAAGAGTGTTGACTGTGGAGCCAAGCAAACTAAAGCTGTGTACAATCTCAGTCTCTTCACCATCCATCCTGATGCTGCCAATTGGTCCAGTGGTGAGAATCTTTGTCTTCTTGAGCCTCAATCTATATTGGAGGCTGCATATAGGTTGAAAAGGTATGGAGATAGGATGCATCCCTGGCATACGCCCTTCCCAGTTTTGAACCATGCAATGTTCCCTTGCTCTATTCTGACGACTGCCTCCTGGTCCAAGTATAGGTTTCGCATTAGCACGATCAAGTATTCTGGGATTCCCATTCTTCTCAGAGTCAGCCACAGTTTGTTATGATCCACACAGTCAAATGCCTTTGCATAGTAATGAAACACAGATAGACATTCCTCTGGTATTCTCTGCTTTCAGCTAAGATCCATCAGCTACAATATCTCTAGTACCACGACCCCTTCTAAACCCAGCCTGGACTTCTGGTTTTTCTCTGCTGATGTGCTGTTCCAGTCATTTTTGGATAATCTTCAGTAAAATCTTGCTTGCATGGGAAATCAGTGAGATTGTTTTATAGTTTCCACACTCGGTTGTGTCACCTTTCTTTGGGATAGGAACAAATATAGAGATCTCTTCCAGTCAGTTGGCCAAGTGGTTGTTCTCCAGATTTCTTGGCACAACTTGGTGAGCACGTCCAGGGCAGCATCTGTTAGCTGAAATATGTTAATTGGTATACCAGCTATTCCTGGAGCCTTATTTTTTGCCATTTCCTTCAAAGCAGCCTGAACTTCTTTCATCACCATAGGCTCTTGCTCATATGTTGTATCATGAAATTCTTCTGTGTCTTCTAATTCCTTTCAATACAGGGACTCAGTATATTCTTTCCATCTTCTTTTAATATTTCCTGGATCATTTAACATTCTGCCAAAAGCATCCTTGATTATAGCAACTCTAGGTTTGAATTTGTTCTTCAGTTCCTTGAGCTTAAGAAATGCTGAGTGAGTTCGGCCCTTTTGATATTCTGACTCCAACTCCTTGAACATTTCATTGTAATGTTTTGCTTTGTCATCCCGTGCTGCCTTTTGAAATCTTCTGTTCAACTCCTTAGTATCTTGAATTCTTCCTTGTGCTTTGTATCTTAATTCTGTCGAGGCATCTCTTAAAAGAATCTCATTACCCTTGAATGTGAGTGGAAATTGGCTTACAGCTAACCACTACATTTGGTTTCCAAGCCTGTAAATCACTCAGGAGCAAACTGCCTGTCTCTTCCACAGCGTGTCTGGTGGATTCAGACTAGCCTTTTGGTTAGTTGTGCAGCACCATGCTAACAGTAGTCACATTTTAAATCACTTGGGAAACTCTCCTATCAAGGTTCTCTTTAAAGTGCTAAAGAGCAAAGCTTATCAGTTTAAAGACTAAGGTACCATGTGATCCATGACATGGTATTTTCACTTGCTTTTTATGCATCTAAAATTTGAACAGTGAATAAGGAAGACCAAAGAAAAATTGATGCCTTTGAATAGTTGTCTTGGTGAAGAGTATTGAATACCCCATGGACTCCCAAAAGAACAAGCCAGTCTGTCTTAGCAGACGTGTAACTAGGGTGCTTCTTAGAGACAAACATGGAGAAAATTCATCTCACATACTTTGGGCATCTAGAGGGGTTGGTGCTTGGAAGAAGACATCATGCTGGAAAGGGTGCAGGGTCAGAGAAAGAGGAAGACCCTCAAGGAGATGTGTTGACCCAGTGACTGTAACAGAGGGTTCGAGCTTCTTGAAGATTATGATGTTGCAGATCAGGATAAGGTTCAGGTCTTTTGTTCACAGGGTCAGTATGTATAGCCAACTTAAAGTCAGTTAAAGAAGTTGGAACTAATGTCTCTATTGTAGGGCAACCTAACTAGAATAGTATGGTGGCATAATCTTCAGCAAGTTCTGCTGCTAATGCAAACTCCTATGAGTCTCTGGTAGTTGGAATCCACCAGTGGCTCCAACAGAGAAACATGGGCATTCTCCTGCTGATGATTTACTGTCTTGGAAATCTTATGGAGACCTGTAATGAGTTAGTACTGACTTGGCCACAATTGAGGGTTTTTGCTTTTTGAGTGTTTTTTTTTTTTAGTTGATTTAATGGATGTTTCTGTAACCACCCATTTAAAATTAAAGTTGGGCCTATAATCAGAAGCTATCTCTTCTGATATTCTTCCATTGTTTGTTTTCCTAAATGGGATTTTTAAATGCAGTCATCAGTGGACTAAAGTTTTTATTTAATCAAATTAATGTATTTATTATACACCAATACTGTTAAGGCACTTTCTAAATGAATCTTTTGTAATGAAAAAATGTGAAACAATATATATCGCATTTAATAAAAATAATGCTTTTTTGATTTAGGCTGAATTGGAGGCTTTTGAAAACAGACTGAAAGGTCGTCGAAAGAAGAACAGGAAAAGAGATGAAGTGACAGTGGAACTATCAATATGGCAAAAATATAAATATTATCTCCCTCCAGTGTGTGGAGTTGCAGTTCTGTTGTTTGCATGGTACATAGCTCATGATGTGAATTAAAAGTTTTGACCTTTTTAATATACCTCAGATTGAATTTAGAGAAATTGTTAAATTTGAGATATTAGAAAATGCATATTGTAGAATATTGCATAATTCACATTCATTTCTATATTCTTCCCCAGCTGTTAGAAGAACAAAATTGTAAGCTTTACCTTAATTAGTATATTAGAAATGGCACTAGAACTGTGTTTTAAGAAAAAATAAGCATGACTTAAAATATGTCTAAGGCTTAACTAGTGGCAGAATAAGATGTTCACTGTGCTTCATTACTTTAATGTTATTTAATATTTTAAATCAACCTCTTTTTTTGTAAAATTAAGATGAATCTGAGCCATATATGCAAAAAAGAAATTTTTCTCAGTGTTTTATGTACTTATTAAAGGAAACTTTGTTCTTTTTTAGGAAATTTCTTTTGATCACGTAACTTTGTACTCTTTAAGAAAAAAGATTCTCTAAAAGCCCTCTTAAATTTTGAAACAGTTAGAATCCAGAAGTTTTTATTAGTGAAGAATTTTTACCAGTCATTGATAAAAATTTTCGTGTAACATGATCCTCAGAGGGAAATGGTACTATTTTTAACAAATACCAAACTAGATTCCTTGCACTCTGCTTGTGTAAGAACCTTTTGACTGATGTTGGCATGTTTTGTAAAACTTACCTTTTCAAAATAATAAAAGGAAATGAATATTTATGAGCAACATGTTGCATGCAGGTCTCATGAGTTTATGCACTTTATTTCTCCTCACCACCATCCCGTGAGATAAGAAGATGTCATCTGGATTTAGTTTATTCTTACAAAAACAAGATGATAGAGAAATTTTGCTAAGCCAGATATATTTGCATTGTAAATAGTGTTAAAGAATTTTTCCATTTAATTTTTATATGATTTTTTTCCCATAAATATTTTCATATTGTTGACATGTCCAGGACCCTTTAGTTTTAGGTTAGGCTTTAATAGTATCAGTATATGAAACTCTAATAATTGATGCAGAACATAATCATTGACAGATACTAGGAAGTAGTAAAAGTGTGTTTTAAATAGAATTCCAAAGATTTTTCAGTTTTGTTGGATTTAACTTATTTTTTTAATATGTACATTAGTCAGATCTTCCTCTCCTTACAGGCTTTTTGTTTTTACTTTACATTTCTTTTCTTAACCTTTTTTAATTATAGAGTTATTATTGACTTAGCCTATCCTAAGTTCTTAAGCAAATCTGTGGTATTCAAATTGCCTTATTCTGCTCTAAGTAAAACAGATTAAGGAATATTAGTAACCAGCTTTCTGCCTAGAAAGCCATTTCATGTATTTCAGCATCTTGCTCTTTTAAGCAAGCCTGAAGTCTAGTAGCCTGTGTATACTTGATTTTATTTCTAGGACAGTAATTCGCTACTCAGATACACCTGAGAAGTCATGGGGAGAAATGGGCTGGCACCATAAATAATTCCATAATAATTTTATTCTTAACTCTCTAACATTGTATTGGTGCCAGTTTCTCCCCACCACAGGGGTCCACACTACAATTTGCAGGCCTAATAGCTCTTGCCTGTGCCTGACATGCCGGGAATAGTGCCTTCTCACTGACAGTGACCAAAAAATGAGGTACCTCACAATAGACTGTCTGTAAATATATTATTAAAAAAAGTTTAGAAGTCATAAGATTTTTCTTAAACACTGTGTACCAGGCCCTTCACAAAGTGACATGTACATCTCAGTTTATAAATCATGAAGCAAATCTAGTTCTTTTGTAAAATGAGAATAATAATATATATATTTCTTTGTAAGACTGTTACGGAGTTGAAATTAATATGTAAAGTGCTTTAAAATAGTCACAGGCACATAAAACTAGCTTTCTTTATCTGACATTTACCATCATTTCTTTTACTGTCACCCTTTTACAGAAGAGGAAACTAAAGTTTTAGAAATTAACTTGCATAAGGTCAGCTTATTTGTGCCCATTCAAAAGAAAGGCCCTCCAGGTAAACACAGAAATTACTGAACAGTATCACTTTCACAGAAATTACTGAACAGTATCACTTTAACATACAATTTTGCCGAAGATGATTAAAATATTGCTGAATCTGAGTCCACTTGACAGCAGTGGTTGGATGGGATGGGATGAACCAACCAGTCTGTCTTGGAAGAGGCCAGCCAGAATGCTCCTTAGCAGAGAAGATGAGAAGACTCTGCCTCCGGTGCTTTGGCACATAACAGGAGGGCCCGGTACCATCACGCTTGGTAAATGAGAAGGTCATGCACAAAGAGAGGAAGATCCACAGTGAGATGGCATGGCTCAGAGAGAGCAACAGTGGGCCCAAACCTGCATAGCAACAATTGTGAGGATGGTGCAGGGCCTGGCAGTGTTTCAGTTTGCTGTTCCTCGTTTGTGTGTCACTGCTAACTGAAACATCAGCAGTTTGAATCTACCATCTGTTCTGGAGGAGAAACATGGGCAGTCTCGTAATGTTAGGATCCACAGCCTAGGAAACACCGATTCAGGGTTTCAGTGAGTCTTAACAACAGTGGGTTTATGAGTCAGAATGCATGCACTCCATGGCACCTAACAACAGCAACAAAGATCTCCCAACTAGTAAGTAGTGCAACTGGAATTGGAACTCGAGCAATTTAAGACCGTACACTGACCTCCTTTGTGTGGTACAGTTTTAAGAGTTAGGAGATAATACCGCATTGGGCAAGTATGCTGTCAGGGACCTCTCCAGAATACTGAAGAGCAAATGATGTCAGTTCAAAGACTGAGGTGCACTTGATTCAGGCTGTGATCTTCTCAAATCATTTGCTGTGTGTCTGAGAGCTGGACAAGGAATAAGGATGACAATATTTGCTACTTCGAGTTTTGGTGGTGTAGAAGAATATTGAATACCCTATGTACTGCCCAAACACACAGATATGTATTGGAGAAAGTGAAACCAGAGTGCTGCTTGTGGACATGGATGGTGAAGCTTTGCCTTTCCTACTTTGACCATATTACTAGCATGGGTTATGCTAGGAAAGGTGGTGGATCAGCAAAAGAGAAGACGACTCTCATTGAGATGATTGGCACAGTGACTGCAGCAGTGGGCTCCAGTTTGTCAGAGATGCTGAGTATGGCCCAGCGTAGTGCAGAGTTCAAGCCTATTTGTAGGTTTGCTATTGAGTCGTACTTGACAGCACAGCACCTATCAGCATTGTTTCTGCAACAAGTCAATTTCCAGTTTACTTGCTTGTTGCTCTGATTAACTTTTTTATTTGGAAGTCTTTGTTATCTTTCATCTTAAAAGATCACATTCTACTCCATAATCTAGCCTCACACCATTTTTAAGAATTATTCCATAGTTGAAATACACATTTTGAAACTTAGTCTATTAACCTGAAAATTCTGTAAGGGCAGGAACTCTTAAATTGTATGAGTTGAATGTATAGCCCAAATATTAGCTGCTGTTGAATGGATCCCTGGCTCATCACTGTGACTGACTGTGACTCAGCATTGTGCCATCGAACGAACCACTACGATCCAGAGAATTTTCATTGACTGATTTTCAGAAGTAGAAGCTTTGCTGAAACCTGTTCATCATCATAGGAACATGCACTTGCAGATGGGTAGTGGTTGCACTGGGTCTCTCCTCGTGGCAGGAGAGAGAATTAGACCACTGAACCACCAATTGCCCTGAGCCATCGGGTAGTGTGTTTAAGCCACCATTTGCCTGTTCATTTGGAATGCTGACTACTGCTCTAAAATCTACATTTTGTTCTTAAATTTCCTTCATTTGTAGTACTAACCATACATGGGTAATGGTAGTATGTGTGACTGAAACAATCTGTAAACTTCCATTTCTACTTGTAAAGAAGTTCATGCATGACCTGTAAGTTCATTTTTCCATCTGTCTCTTCAAGCTTTCTGTTCTTGTGTTTGTTTTAGAAGTTGTCTCATTGGTTGTATATATGCTTCAAATGGCAATACACATGTCATAAGCCTAGAAAATGCTGCTTTTTTTAACTGGATAATGGTGGTCATGTCAACAAGTCAGTATGACAAGTGCTTTTTGGTTTTTTAAAAGAATTAATACCAATACCATCCCATGTCACTGAAGATCGGTGGGATATCTCTGTATACTCAAATCTGATTAGGAGAATTCCTTTTCTAGTATTTTTTATGGTTTTCTGTGTAATAAAATTTGTTCCAAAAAGTCTAAAGATGTCTAGCCTCGTTTTTGTATGCCCTTACTCTGTAGAGGTATACAAGTCTGCGGGAAACCATGCAAAGAAATTGACTAGAGTCTTCCCTTTGGTGACACTGATAAGTAGAACTGGTTGGACTTTTTTTTTCTTCTTAAAAGGCACTTTAAGGACTACTTACTTGACTCCTTATATGCAATCAATTTTCCTTCTCAGAAATAGAAGATTGATTGTTGAGTGGGAAACTGAAAGACCATGGTCCTCTCAAACCTTGGTAATTCATGTAACACCTCCACCAGAGGGCAGAAAGTAAAAAGAGATGAAAGTCTATACAAACCTTGGCAAGCCAACCCAACCCTCATTTTATAGACTGGCTTAAGCCATGATCAGAAAAGTGAAATGTGCTCCAGACAGAGCTGGCTGGGAAACCTCCCAGGCTGGTGTGCATGCTTTTATGATGTGTGTGTGATGAGTTGGAGAGCTTAGAAGAACATGTTAAATTGGAACCTACTCATAGTTGATCCTCGGATAGGTTTTCAAAGATTGTATATTGCAAGAGAGGAAAATGCCTTTCTCATGCACAGCAGCTGGTGGATTTGAACTGCTTGCCTTTGGTTTGACAAGACAGCTTCTTGCCACTAGACCACATTCTCAGAAATTACCCTGCCTTCAGGAAATTACAGCTCACCCCTTTCCTTGATAGTTTGTGATCTTAGCTTGGTTACCATGCTTGGAAACGTGTGGAATCTTTAAATGAATGATGTAATAGGGCCTCATTAAGTAGCTGGTAGTATGAGTGTGTGTGAAGTACTTTGTTTAAAACTTGCCACATACCACGAGTTACATTTTTTTATAATAGATGATAAATTGTCAAAGAGTCTAAATCTAATGCTAGACTCAACACAGAATCAATACTTCATTGCCAGTGTTTTCTATGCTGACAGATTTCAAAACAACACTGATTCTAACACCTCTTTTTTCACAAATGTGTACCATTCCCTCTCCACACACCCCCCCCCATTCCCTGGTATTCAAGGAATATTAATGCATTCCGTTGGCTGTGTGTGGCCTTTGGAATAGTGAAGGGGATGTCTTAAATACTCATTAAATTTTGAAAATTTTAATTTTTTATTGAACTCGAATGAAAGACATATTTAAGAAAAATAATTCCATGTCATATTTATGACTTATTTTGCCAAATATAT